AGTGGTAATAATGGGCGTGACGATATAAAAAACGTACAAGTTTGAATAGATGCCCACGGCAAACCCGCTTATGATCAGTACAACACAAACAGGCTTGAGAACGTAAGTGATAACTACGGCCCATTTAGGTCGGAAAACCCTGATACCGAATCCAAGTAGAACAGGGCCGAGCATGTACGAGAGACCGACGATGATGCTGACAAAAGGAATGCGTAGGTTTGTTCCCCTGGTGAAGTTCTTGCCCAATACTGCCAGCCACATTGGCATGGTTCCTGAAAATTGTTTCATTAAAATAATGATTAAAATCCCTCCGTTGGTCTTATACTTTATTTAAAGTAACTGTCAACAGCTTTGCGTATTAACTTAAATCACAACATTACCGCGATTAAATCTCTAGCGACGCATTTACCTATAAGTTGACCAGAAAGGCTGTGCACTCACATTTCGTACAATAAAGGGAGGTATCAGCAACCGAAAGAAGTTTATATTTGGTTTGAGATCAGTATTGAAGCAACGACAAAGATGGACGCATCAGATAGAGTCGGACCCAAAGCAACGGAGCCCATATGGGACAGAGACAAACAAAGAGGTCCACACTAAAGACATATCTAGGGCACGGATTGGGACGCTCAGAGATGGCTCAACCAAAGGAAACAAAGACACGGCAAGTATGGAGACACCCAGCAAGGATCGTACAAAGAGGCACAGGATTCGCAGTAGGATGATCGAGACCACCGGACAGGTTCGTACCAAGAGCAACAGAGGAAGGGAGGACACCATACCATCACCAGCCAGCCGATTGCAGGTGTTATTCTCGAGAGCCAACTTGAGTACGCAGCAGTACTTAATGAACAAGTTGCCAATGACGCGCCCCGTCGATACACAGTGAGGCCGTGAGAGGAGAGAAGAGAACATAGGTCGGTGAAGCCTAGCATCTTGTACCTACCGAGTGTTAGCAGAGTGTTTAGCAGCGTCATCGCAATGCTGAGGGTGATGTCACCGTCCAGTAGAAAGGTAAAGATGTTACTCAGTCCACCACCGGGACAGCTGCCCACCGTTAGTAGACCCAGCTTCCACGACGTCCCTACAGTCACCGCACATGCTAAACCAAACGAGACCTATAGGATATGCGAAAAAGGAGCACCAGCGTAAATAGCTACTTAGTGTTAAAGTATAATATCATTTTCATTCTTATATGATTTCGACAGGTTAGATGTCGTAATAAACTAATAACTAGGTAACCATAACGGCGATAAACCTAGCAGGTGTCATACATTACGAATGATAACACTGATTTGAGCTTGCCACTGCCTAGTTATACTCACTATTAGTCTCGTAACCTCTGCCAATAATATCATCTCGTATTAAACTTAACAGTATTATATGAAGATTATGCATCAGATGTATTATTGTAAAGATTATTTAACCGATGATCAGTCATATAATGTACACGCGGGCATTCAAGTTTTCATGCTGCTTCTTGAAGCTTTTATGTTTCCTTGCACAGGCCTGTTAATACAAAATACCTTGTCAACTCTCATGTGACGCCGCTGAACGTACCCTGATACACATACACACACACACACACACACACACACACACACACACGCACACACACACACACACAACACACACAACACACCACATACACACACACACAACACACACACACACACACACACACACACACACACAACACCAACACACACACACACATACACACACCACACACCACACACACACACACAACACACACACACAACACACAATACACATCACACACACACACCGACACACACACACACACACACACACACACACACACACACACACGCACACACACGCACACACACGTTTTTGTTTGCGTGTATGTGAGTATATCAAGAGCGTATTAAGTATGTACCCACGTTCGGGTAATTAACGTCCAGTCTTTTCAGCAGAGACAACGCGCATGCTATAGGCCCTAAAGTGTTTTACTGAGCGTGTCTACTATTTTGCTCAATCCCGTGCTGTTTTTATCTGTCAGTGTGTTACATATACCGCGGCTCTATAGCTTGCGTTGAACAACAAGAGAGAGCAATAATTTATTGTAACTTTTCGTTTTACACAGTGGCTACGCGTCCAGAACCGGTCGCCTAGCCTCCAGGCTACGCGTCCGGACATCCACTCACACAGTGATCGCGCGACTCGCGTACACGCATGATCGATTGCGCAACGGGACGCTTCATTTTATTGATAGGCTGGCGAGACCTTGCCGTAAGGAAGAAAAACAAATATAGGAAACAAACTTCAATCGCTCATTTCCTTGAACATTAACTTACGATCGTTCTGTAGCCTATTATTTTAGTTATACCGTGGAATAATCATTAATAAACGAGATCCCATGCCATACATGACTTCTATTTAATCTGCGAATTATCGCATTATCCTATATATATATATAGGGAGAGAGAGAGAGAGAGAGAGAGAGAGAGAGAGAGGAGAGAGCGAGGAGAGAGAGAGAGAGAGAGCGAGAGATTATAGATATGATAGATAGATAGATAGATAGATAGATAGATAGATAGATATATTTAGATAGATAGATAGATAGATAGATAGATAGATAGATAGAAGATAGATAGATAGATAGATAGATAGATAGATAGATAGATATAGATAGATAGATATAGATAGATAGATAGATAGATATAGATAGATAGATGATAGATAGATAGATAGGTAATAGATAGATAGATAGATAGATAGATAGATAGATAGATAGATAGCATAGATAGTATAGATAGATAGATAGATGATAGATAGATAGACTGATAGATTAGATGCATAGATAGATAGATAGATAGATAGATTAGATAGATAGATAGATAGATAGATAGATAGATAGATAGATAGATAAATAACAAGCATAGATAGATAGATAGATAGAATAGATAGATGATAGTAGCATAGATAGATGATAGATAGATAGATGAGCGAAGAAAGAGATTTCCACAGATAAGATATATCTTTCATAGAACACATCACGAGAGGCATAGCGACGACCAGTTGACAGAAGGTTTCCTATCGCATTGTGTGCGATTGGATCGCTTCACAATTCCTTGACGACAGCGATTCAATCGGACGCGCCAAAGCCAATCGTGGTTGAAGATACGAAGCTTGCGAGCATTGTAGTGAACTACCACGTCGATGATACGTCGGCTGTTGCATCACGCTCACACGATATCGCTGTGCAGAATAATCGCTTGTCCGGCACTCGAGCAGCTGTACACGCGAAACGACAGCGACGTTATTCCGATTGAATTTTGCTAGCACGTTGAAGTTTCCTACCGTCGTTGCCAGTGGCAGGCGACCGGCATCCGTCTTCTGTATGTTTCTATCACATCGCCGAACGAATCGGTCGGCGCAGGTCACGAACCAACCAACAGTCGTACGAGAAAACCATCCGACGTGGACAACGTCAGGTTGTAAGTCAACAGTAATAGTCTGCCGCGCTCGATTCAAATGTTCGATTCGAATCCTGGGAGAACTCGGAGCATGTTTGACAGCCGTCTCCAGTTGGCATTCGCCTGTCTTGGGCGCGTGACTACCGCGCAAAGATGCGTGCCAGTCACCCACAAAACCGAATTCACGTCTGCCCCATGCTTAATTATCTTGCGCTGTAGAATCGTTGGAGGTGGTGTTCCCTATCGTCGCTAAACACAGCACATCGAGTCTGTCGAGTCGCTATCTGCTGTCTGGCCTCCTCGTTGTTGGTTCGGAGGCGAGCGGAGACTCAGCGTACGTTTGTATAATAGGCTCCAGACATGTGCACGTGTTTATATAGGTTAAAAAATACCTACATGATGATTACTTTGGCGCAATAGCTATTTTCCTGCGGTCGAACAGCAATACATGCTCACAACTCACGCGTGTTTCTATATCACTAATAAACACAGCCACGACGATTAGCTTGTGCAGCGGCGCAGATAACCAGTTTCGTTATGCAAGGCGCTGTCAAGCTGTGCTGTCTATTGTAGCTGCAGTTGTATAGAATTATGAACGCCCCCCCCCAAGACCCCTGTATTACACGAACTGGCCGTCGTTCACCTCGCCTAACGAATTAGGTAGGTTAATTTAGCTGATTTAGCACAACGAGATGGGAGAGAATGATGTAATCACACTGTGCATTACATACGTATATATAATACATTAATTAACGTTCAAATACTATATGATTCAGCAAAACGGGTGGGACAGGATGCGATGCTTGTGCCCGTCGCCCACCTTATGCCAAGATATAGAAATTGACAAGCGGTGACAAACGGTGACGCCGTCTCTGATGCGACGCTTATATCTTTTGGGACATTATGCGGCTGACAAGTGGGGCGGCCAGGCCCGACGCGGAACGCGCTATCGAAATCAGCAGTTACTGAGCCATAGGTGACACGACCGCATGCACCTCGAGCGGCTTCGCTTGCTGTTGTCGCCAAGGGTCTGTTTTGCCAAAGTTAGTTTCTGCTAGATCGGTCTTTGAGCTGCCTATATATAAACAGCAATTGACAAGCAGAAACATATAGATTTAGAGAAAGACTATGTAGTGAGTCGGAGAGAGAATCGAGACGAGGCGCCGGAAGCCTGTAGCCTTAGGCTGTGTATTGTATATATTTGTATATGTGTCAAGTATAAAATCAGTCTTCAATCAACAATCTGCTACGATTGGATCATTAATTACTACTTGATTGCAATCATCTAACGTATCACTCGCTACGATGCTTACGATGCCCGGAGCGCAAAACATCAACTCTATTTCACAGTACAACACAGATATTAGTATAAACCAACTGCCTGATCACGGTACTTGTTCATTCTTTGCTAAGGGAAAGGCAGAATTACCTTATGAAAGAAAAATCGCGTTACAAATAACGAACAAAACGTATTTACGAGCAGCACCGATAAATGTAGGCTGCAGGGTTAAATTTTCACAGCGATCTACAGTGCGACAGTTACTTGGCAAAAACGATATATTTTTCTACCTGTCGCTGACGATGTGCACGGTTCAATGTGCGACTCAAGCGTTGACTGCGTAACTGGAGCCTTGTGACATATGCTATAGTATAGGCTGTATATTGATTATTGAGACTGACTCTAAAGAGGTCTTCTGTGTTTGCCCTTGCAGATGTTGATACCACATTATTGGTGTCTGTCTTTCTTACCATAAAGCTTACTATAGGTTTATATGTTTAATTAATGATTAGACTGACTCTACGAGTTAAGTAAATATTGAATCATAAAAATTACTAACAGCATTTTATTTTTTAAATTGGGCCAATGTATGTCAAATACATTTTCTCCAAAAACGATTACAATGGAAAACAGGGGCCGCTAGCATCTAAGGGGCCAAGGATGGCAGCTGCCCCTAGATTTTCGAGCAACATAATAATAAAGCGCAGGTAGCCCCCTAATAACTGTAGTAGACAAAAAATAAATTTCAACAAATCATTGGAACCACATTACAAGAAGTTTACACAGAACGATTACATTACTGTTTAAAACAAATACACACCCTCCTTAACATCACGCAAGTTTTCTGCTGTATTAAAAACAATTTCCGACAGGATTTTTCACATTTTTGTCAACGCTTAAATCTCCTAGCCTCATTCTTTGTCGCAGTTGCGCAACTATAGAGCTTTCATCTATAGGTTCATACAGTGTTTTATTTTGTGGCACTACGACGTAGCAGAATGGGAAGTCAGCGGTGCATGGTTAAATAGGTCGATTGGGCTCTCCATCGCCTTTGATTAGAAGTCGCATCCTCCATTTCTGCTCTCGTCTGCTGTGGAAGGAACAATGCACACGGACGATGTAATGATCTACGTTTATTAAACATTACTATAACACGCTGAAAATATTTCTTATTCATAGTTATCAGGATTGCATTTAAAAACCGAATTTGTTTTTATTCACTCCTGATACTGTACGCGTACTTATTACTATAGTGTATACAACTGCAACGAAATAAACCTACGTGCCTTGACACGGCACTCGCCCTATTATAGCTTGCGTGCGCCAACAACCACTAATGTGATGTTAAGAAATATTTTTTTCGTCTCAGTGTCTGAGTTTGTGTTTGGAATATTGACGCAGCAATTAACTAGGAATGCCGGAATGAGTGAAAAAATAGTCTCCGGGGCCAAAGCTTCTCACGCGAAAAGAAATAGTGCCATCCGGGTGATGTATAAGAAAGGAAAGGAACATCAAATGCTTTTTCGAGAAACTGTATTTTATAATGCGAATGCTTACCTTCCTAAATGTAGACGTTCTCTTCGAGTGCAAGGTTTATCTGTCCCAGCTTTTCCGTCTCCTTCTTCTTTTTCTTCTTCGTCCCACTGGAGCTCTCGTGTTTCTGCACGTCCATCTCAACAGTGCCGCACGCATTGCTGTTAGCCGTGCCACGCTCCGATCGTTGCGCGTCTTTTTCCTTCGCGATCCACGCGTCACTGTTTGAATTTGCGACGTAGGATTGCAGCTTCACTGCAGACTTTGTCGTTAACTTGGTTTCGTCGGCAGTGAGATCTGCTGACGTTGATCCATCACGGATTCTTGCAACAACTAGGCGCACTATGAAGATGACGATGAGGGGTAACGGAGTCAGGATGATGCAGATGATGGGGACAACAGAAGCAAGGTCTGCCTCAGGCTGCGGAAATGAGGATTTCAGTAACACCAGGGCGATACCAGCATTCTGGATTCCCGTTTCGATAGCAATGGTCTTCACAATGGGCCAAGGACGACGAGTGATGATGGCAACAAGGCCCCCCATAGTGAAACCCACCCACGGCAAAGAGGACGCGACACCAACTATCAGAGGAGTTACAAGAGAGAAAATGTACCAATTGGAATAGATGCCAGTCGAAAAAAGCATTATAATTATTATAAAGCAAAGTGGCTTCAATAACCTTATTAAGAACGCGGCCCAAGTGGGCCGAAAAACCTTTATGAGGAAGCCGACAACAACGGCACCGATCATGTAGGAAAGACCTGTGATGATCGTAAGGTAAGGAATGTGCATATTGGTGCCCTCGGTGAAGTACTTTCCTAACACGGTGAGCCACATTGGCATTGTTCCTGCAAAATGAGTTCAGACTGGTATCTCGCTTCGTCGGAGTATAATCTGCCACCGAAGCATTGTTAAGTAATTTTTTGTCGTAATTATAATTCTCAATGACGCAAAGATTATCACTGAAACGACATCCGTTTGAGACCACTGCCCGATCTCCTCTTTAGTTTCTCATCGTTCTGAAGTAATGAAAGGTGTATGCGAAAATCTGTAGAACTCAAGGATGGCTCGATGATAGCTTATACTCACCGAGTGTAAGCAGAGTGTTGATGAAGGTCATGGTAATGCTGAGTGTAATGTCTCCACCCAAGATGAAGGACCAGACGTTACTCCCTCCTCCGCCAGGACTGCTTCCCATCGTTAGCAGACCCAGCTTCAATGAATTCCCAATGTCAACTGCACTTCCTAGTCCGAACGCGATCTAAAATACATGAAATGTAGAATGGAGTAAGTAGTAAGTCTATGTTACCTGAGTAGTCATGTATAAACGGGTTATCGTACCATACAGGATATTGTGACAGTTATGTAGTTTATTATTATTAATTAAAAAACTCTTTATTACGTAGCGAGACTGTCGATATCAACACTATCTACATAATATACATTATTTGTACATAAAAATTGTCTAGGACGCGACCCTGGGTCTAGTCTATACTAGGATTTTCCTTTATTATCACAGAATCCATCAACCAGCTAACCACCACAGTGATATAATCTGGTCAACGAACTCTTTCAATCGTATCGCTGGAGAAACGCGAACGACTGTGGGCTATGGCAACTATGATCCAGCAAAATATCACTAGACATCAAAAAGCTTTAGAACTTGGTGCGCAAACTTTCAACCGATGTAAAGCGTAACGTAGCAGTCCTACTTACGAGAGGCATCATGACGAGTTGACAGAACCCGCCTGTCGCTGGCGCAATCGGCTTCTTCAATATCTCCTTGATGACAAAAATATCAATAGAAGCCCCAAAGGCAACCGAGGTAAGGAGTATAACGATGGTGACGATGATGCGGAATGCCTTGTCGATGATGCGAGGTTTGCGTATAACACTCAGTCGGTACCCTTCATGAGAGTAATGTATCGCGTCAGACGCAGAGCTGTACACGCGAAACGACAGCGACGTTATTCCGATGAATTTTGCCAGCACTGTGAAGTTTCCGTACGTCGTGCCAGTACAGGCGACCGGCGTCTCTATGTTTTCTATCACATCGCCGACGAATCGATCGTTGCAGGTCACGACCAACCAACAGTCGTACGAGAAACCCATCGACGCGGACAACGTCAGGTTGTAGTCAACAGTAATAGTCTGCGCCTCGATCAACTGTTCGATCGAATATTGGGAGAACTCGAGCATGTTTGACAGCGTCTCGTTGGCATCTCGCTGTTCTTGGGCCGTGACTACCGCGCAAAGAGCGAGTGCCATCACCCACAAACCGAATGCCGTTGCCATGCTTAATTATCTTGCGCTATATGAATCGTGGAGGTGGTGTTCCCTATACGTCGCTAAACACAGCACATCGAGTCTGTCGTGTCGCTTCTGCGTGTCTGCCTCCTCGTCGTGGGTTTCGAGAGCGGAGACTCAGGTATGTTTGTATAATAGCCTCCAGACATGTGCACGTGTTTAATATAGGTTAAAGTACCCACATGATGATTACTTTGCGCAAGAGCTATTTTCTGCGGTCGAACAGCCATGCATGCTCACAACTCGCGCGTCGTAGAACAACTAAGTGTTTCTATTACTAATCAACACAACCACGACGATAATTAGCTCACGCAGCGGCGCAGATAACCAGTTTCGTTATGCAAGATGCTGTCAAGCTGTTTGTCTATTGTAGCTGCAGTTGTGTTGTAGTCTATTGTAGTTGTAGCACTATGACCGTGCTATTACACGAACTGCGTCGGTTCCACTCTCGCTAACAAATTATTGTTGTTAGCTGTTAACTGTTACTGTTAACTGTTAACTGTTAACTGTTACTGTTAACTGTTAACTGTCAACTGTTAACAAACAACAGCTATTTAGCACAACGGCAGCCTGTTCTGCTAGCATCTATGACAAATACGACATACGCATATACGCTCTCCTATGACATTATTTGTCATAGGAAGATTCTTCCTATGAGAAATATTGTTGTATATTTTGTGCGCATCATAAGTGTTTAGGAGCGCTATTATGAACGCAAGCAGTGAATTTCAGCTGTAAAGCGGAACGAAGTTAACTCGCCAATATTTGTCATAGGAAGAATCTTCCTATGACAAATAGTGTCATATGAGAGCGTATATGCGTATGTCGTATTTGTCATAGATGCAAGCAGTACAAATTTCCACAGATAAGATATATCTTCATAGAAACACTCACGAGAGGCATAACGACGAGTTGACAGAAGGCCCCTATCGCTGGTGCGATTGGTCGCTTCACAATTTCCTTGACGACAGCGATATCAATGGATGCGCCAAAGCCAATCATGGTGACGATAACGAAGATTGCGACTATGTAGTTGAACGCCACGTCGATGATACGTGGCTGTCGCATCACGCTCACACGATATCCGTTGTCAGAATAAATCGTGTCCGACTCGGAGCTGTACACGCGAAACGACAGCGACGTTATTCCGATGAATTTTGCCAGCACCGTGAAGTTTCCGTACGTCGTGCCAGTGCAGGCGACTGGCGTCTCTATGTTTTCTATCACATCGCCGACGAATCGGTCGGCGCAGGTCACGACCAACCAACAGTCGTACGAGAAACCCATCGACGTGGACAACGTCAGGTTGTAGTCAACAGTGATAGTCTGCGCCTCGATCAACTGTTCGATCGAATCCTGGGAGAACTCGAGCATGTTTGACACCGTCTCGTTGACATCTCGCTGTTCCTGGGCCGTGACTACCGCGCAAAGAGCGAGTGCCATCACCCACAAACCGAATGCCTTTGCCATGCTTAATTATCTTGCGCTGTAGGAATCGTGGAGGTGGTGTTTCCTATACGTCGCAAAACACAGCACATCGAGTCTGTCGTGTCTGCCTCCTCGTCGTGGGTTTCGAAAGCGGAGACTCAGGTATGTTAGTATAATAGGCTCCAGACATGTGCACGTGTTTAATATAGGTTAAAATACCCACATGATGATTACTTTGCGCAAGAGCTATTTTTCCTGCGGTCGAACAGCCATGCATGCTCACAACTCGCGCGTCGTAGAACAACTACGTGTTTCTGTTACTAATCAACACAGCCACGACGATTAGCTCATGCAGCGGCGCAGATAACCAGTTTCGTTATGCAAGATGCTGTCAAGCTGTTTGTCTATTGTAGCTGCAGTTGTATTGTAGTCTATTGTAGTTGTAGGACTATGACCTAGCCCGACCAGGCTGTGCGACGGATTGTCTATGTCTTGTAACCCTAGCAATACCGTTTCTTGGAGCTAGACTATGACCGTGCTATTACACGAACTGCGTCGGTTCCACTCTCGCTAACAAATTATGTTAATCAGCTATTTAGCACTACGGGCTGGGAGAATGATGTAATCACACTGTGCATTTACATATATATATATATATATATATATATATATATAT